GCAAATTGGGCCCTTCTGGTGACTACTGGGTGGGCGGGCTCATGTGTGTTCTAGGACCCTATGGATCTCTCCAACAAACTTGCCTGTGAGGCTGGGAGTTTCTCCCACTGCTGCAATTTCCACAGATTTTTACAGCCAAAGGTTTTGAGGCTTTATTTCCTAGTGCTGGAACCTTGGGTTGTACAGTCTGTTCCTCCAGCTGTTCCTCCTGGTTTATCCTTACATGAATGTGGGACTGCCTGGTTTACCAGCTGCTGCCTGGCCCATCTAGTCCTCCAGCCACCACATTGCCACACATCCAGCTGCCCATCTCCATCCCTTCTACCAATCTGGGTGAATGTTTCTTCTTTAATCCCTTGGTTGTTGGACTTTCATACAGTTTGATTTTCTTGCAGTTCTGGTTGTTTTTGTTCTTAAATTTGTTGTTGTCCTTCTTTTGGTTGTGTGAAAAGGCAAAGTATATCTACCTATGCCTCCATCTTGGCCAGAAGTTTTTCAAAATAAACTTAACTTTTTTACTTCTTGAGTATATTAAAATATTTGTCTTTCTTCTATATGAATATTTCATCTGTATTAGTTACTTGTGGCTGCATTAAAAATTACCCCAAAATTTGATGGTTCAAAATAATAAAGCTTTATTATCTTACAGTTTCTGTGGGTACGAAATTCAAGAGAGGCTTAGCTGGGCAGTTCTAGCTAAGGTAATCCATGAGGTTATTGTCAAGATATTGGGGAGCTGAAAAATCTGGATACATCTAAAGTGTTGTTGGGGCTGAAGAATCTACTTCCAAAATAGCCAGCTCCCTCACATAATATGGTATGAAACCTCAGTTCCTTGCCACATTGATCTTTCCATAAGGCCTCTTGAGTGTTCTCACAAGATTGTAGCCAGCTTCTTCCAAGACAGAGCAAGGCAAAAACTATACAGTCTTTTATGACAACCTAAGAAGTCACATACCATCATTTCCGCAACAGTCCACTGTTATAAAAATCAGCCCTATCAGTCTAGAAAAGGACTATACACAGAATGAGATAAGTCATTGGGGTACATCTTAGAGGTTGACTACCCAGAACACTGAAAACACTGAGAATTCTGACTACAGTAAAAGGTCACAAGAACCCAAACTCAAGCAATCTTTTGCCTTAGTGGGACACAGGGATGGACCTACTTGGAGGAAGGAATTCTCTGACTCTGGCTTCATTGGTAACTGCCACCAGCATCAAGCTCTCAGGCAACTGGGGCCTCACTGTGAAAGAGAACTAAATCAAAACATTCTTATCAGCTTGGGAAAGGGCAGCTAGGATGCTCTAAAACCATTCTGTTGAGCTTTTCAATGAAAGTTATTTCCAATAATTTACAATATATAGAGAAGAAAATGGAAGGAAGACCCCTGTTTTTATAAGACTTTTCTGGTGGTTTTAACTCAGGCTCATCTTTCCCCCACTGACTTCTTTTGCACTTGTTAGTTATACTGCACAATTAACTTTTTAATATATATTATATGATTGTTTTTGATGAGTAACTTAGTACTTCATTCTATGTTATGAGAACAATTACATTTGAACCTAAATTCCCCAAGTACGTTGTAAATTCCTTGAAGTCAGAGAAATTAAGCTTATCACTCAGCCCACCATCAGTGACAACAGATTTTTCTCCAGGAATATGTACCTTCAACACACTCACATACACACACATGCACGTACCATACATGCACACAATGGGATCAGAACTCTATAAAAAGCAAGGCTTATTGATCCCTTTTTAACAAAAATAGTAATTAGACTTGGCCAGAATCATGCTGACACTCATTCTTTCCTTAAAAGCACAGACACATAAAAAGTACACCTCAAGAAGAGGCTACATAATATTCAACATAGTCCTCAAACTCATGCAATGAAAAAGGGACACACAGACCCATATAAATATAAAACATGCTGATGGTTCCCAAAGGGAAGGAGGTGGGGGATAGAAATAAATAAATAAACACACACAGACGAGATCGGGCGCGTTCAGGGTGGTATGGCCATAGACAAAAAACAAAAAACAAAGACACTGAAATAGAGAACAAGGGGATAGTGACCAGAGGGGAGAAGGAAGGGAAGTTAAGGGGAAAAAGGGGGAGGGATTTGGAGGAACAAATAGGAAGGACACAGGGACAAGAACTAAGGGGGGGGGAGGGAGGTGGGGAGCAAGGGGCAGGGGAGGCTGGGATGGGAAAAATAGACAAAAAACTGTACTTGAAAAATAACTAAATAAAATTTTAAAAAATAAAAAATAAACACACACACAAGTACAGGTCGTCACATAGTACTGGAAACTCACACATACTCCCAGAAATGTACATTCACTGTCTTGCCTATACATTCTACTTATTAATTATTTTTAGTCACTGGTTCATGTAATATTTTTAGCACTGTATATAAGGCTCCATATTAGATGTATGGAATTCAAAGATAGAATGATGACATCTTGGCTCCTACACAAATAGGCAACCCCAATCCAATAACATAACTGTCATACCAGGAGTACCTATTTATATAAGGTGATATAGAAGTACATAAAGAGCCTAAATCTTTCCAAGGGTCAGGTAACACCATACATAGGAGAAAGAAAAAAAAGGTCAGTATTGCAAAAGGGGACATAACATGTGCAGAGTGCTGAAATTGTTAAATTGCAGGGTCCCTAGCCAGGAAATAATCAAAGAAGACTTTTCCTTTTACTTTGAGGCTCCCTGGGTTCAAGACAAAAAATTAAATTAGCACCTCTGGCAATGGGACAAAGCCCAAGGCAGAGACCCTGGACCCTTTCACACAGGATCTGCTGGAAAGGAGAGGCAGAGCAGTAGACAAGAAGGAGGAATTCCTACAAAAGGAGTCATTGACATTTCCAGAAGGAGCCCAAAGATGTGGAAAGATGCATTTCTACCCCTACAGAGGCCCAGCCATGGGGGACGATCACTGTTGCAGGGCTCAAAGGCAAAGAGAATCTCTATCCCCCTAAGAAATGTCTTCCCTCTAGAGAAGATGGGGTATGACCTGGTTCCCAAGGAGGCAAAGAAGGGGCATAGGATGATAGGGAAAGAAGTGGGAAGCTTTTCCATAATAAGTGGAGGGAGAAAAGAAAGGAGAGCAAGGCAAACAGTCTAAGAAAGAAATTCAACTTGAAAGGAGCGACTGCTGGGGTTCTTGTCTGCAGAGGAAGTGCAACCAGAAACCCGGGAGGTGGAAGAAGGACTGGTGGCTGAGAAGAGCAGCAGAGAAGGGGGGAAAGGAATAAATTGGGATAGAGAGTTGTATGGGCCCAAGAGTGCAAATGGGGAAGGGCTTAATCAGGGCTGTGATTGCACAGAAGGGGAGGAAAGGGTAGATTCGGCAGCTCCTAGAACCTGGGGAGAACAGATAGAGGCAATGCTTCAGCGTTGTCTGGGTAAATGGAAGTGCATTTTCCACAGGGCCAGAGCAGGCTTTTAACCTGTAGGGAAGAGAAATTCCTTTTGCTGGAACCAGAGCTTTAAAAGGTCAAATGTGTGAACCCTGGCCAGTAGTTGGTTGGAGTGCCATCCTATTAATGAAAGGTTGCGAGTTCGATCCCCAGCCCAGACACTTACAGGAGGCAACCACCTCTCTCTATCACATTAATGTTTCTTTCTCCTTTCCTGTCTTCATTTCTCTTTGTCTAAAAGCAATGGAGAAAATTTCCTTGGGTAAAGAATAAATAAATGGTCAAATGTGTGAGACAGGGTAGGTGGGAACAGAGGAAGGAAAGTACATTTTCATGGCTAAATTTGGAGTGAGAGAGACCTTGGCTCAACCAACCCAGTTACTTACTAGCTGTGTGTCACTGGCCAAATTAATCAACTTCTCTTAGCCTCAAGTTACTCATATACAAAAGGGATACAAAAACATTTTCCACATGTGGTTTTTCCAGAAGACACTTGGTGCAGGGCCTGGTACACAAGCAAATTCAATACAGGTTAACTGTTTTCATAAGTATAATTAGTCTGCATCAATGGAAACACATTGATCAAATAAAAATGTGGGCCAGTCAGATCACGGCTGAGACACTGTGTTCAGATCTAGGTCCACCTTCTACGAACGACACTGATAAACTCTAGCCTTCCCCAGGAAAGGGTGACTCAGAGACCCTGCAAATCATGAAATATGGAGAGAAATTAACCTAGATATATCGAGGGGAATGAGTATGGTTATGTGAAAAGGCACTAGCATTCTGATTAATCTTAGGAAACAATACTGCGTTGTTAAAGATTGCGGAGCCAGGATGCTTGGTTTCAAATATGAAGGCCATCAGTCATCTTTGGCCAAGTTCCTGTCTCTCTGAAGCCTCAATTGTTTCATCTGTAAAAATAAAGTTAATTAGATTACCTACCTCATAAGATTATTGTGCCAATTAAATGACTTAACATATGTCAAGTGCTTAGAATAGCATCTGGCATATAGTAAATTCTAAATTTGTTAATTTGTTTAGTTCAGAGCACCGATGGCAGCCCGGTATTTTTAATAACTCCAACAACGGACAAGTGAGAATAGTTCCCAGTAAAGTAGTGATTCCTTCTTGCCGGACTCGTTCAGAAATTCCCTGATAGTGACTGCTCACAGTCATTGCAGAGTAGATTGATCCTCCAAAGCGGAAGTATAATAAATTTGCTATCCCTTAACCTCTTGGGCCTGAGAGGAGGCTAAGGCGCTTACCAGCTGCAGGTGCAGTTGGCTAGAGATGCAACAACTCCCACTGACCGCCAGAGAGCAGCAGAGTCCGCACGGGTGGTTTCATCCAAAGAAAATCCTTAATTCGTTGTCGGTTTTGCTTTCTCAGCTGTTTGCATAGCTCCAATCTCCGAGGGTACCGCTTCTGTAATCCCGCCCATTATTTGACTACCCAATAATCAACTAAGGTCCAGCTGGGGCCGCCCCGTGGGTGCTCCTCCTAGTCTATCTGAACCGACAATCTAGCCCCGCCTACCACGAGAGGTGGAGTCCCAGAGACGGAGAAGCAAATCACCTCGGGTGGCGGTGTTCCTGCGACTGCGCAGTGCCTGAAGGGGCCAGGCCTAGGTAGGTGTGAGTTACCGGCCTAGGCTAGCAGACGAGCGGGCGAAACAGAACGGGCTACCTCTCCCGGTGAGCCACTACCCTGGCCCCTCACTCAGCCATGGGTGTGCAGCCCCCCAACTTTTCGTGGGTGCTCCCAGGCCGGCTGGCAGGGCTGGCACTGCCTTCATCCCCTGCCCACTATCAGTTCCTGCTGGATCTGGGCGTGCGGCATCTGGTGTCGTTGACGGAGCGCAGGCCCCAGCACACAGACAGCTGCCCCGGCCTTACCCTCCACCGACTGCGCATCCCGGACTTTTGCCCGCCAGACCCCGAACAGATAGATCGCTTCGTGCAAATCGTGGACGAGGCAAACGCCCGGGGAGAGGTCAGTAGGTGGGGTTAGCGCAGGGAAGAGGGCGCCCGGGAGGGATACGGGAGGGATCCGCGGGAACACTGGCAGAGGTGAAAGAGTCAGGGCCCAGAGTATAGGGCTGGGAGAGAGACTGGAAAAAGACTGCAGGGTCAGGTCACTACTTGTGAAACCGGGAAGTAAAGCCAAGCGGAGGGGGCAGGGCCACAAGAGGGAGAAGGAGAAGGAAATAGGGCCCAGCATTATAAACTGGGCTAGTGGAGAAGAAAGGAAGAACCAGTTGGAAGTTGAGAGTTGAGGAGGAGAAATGGTGAACAGACTTGAGAGAGGTGGAAGTCGAAATCTGAAACTAATGAAGTCTTCACTGACGTGCTCCTTCCAAATATAATGGGGCCAAATGTAATTTAAAGTTTCTGGCAGCCACATTTTAAAAGGTAAAAAGAGAGCAGGAGAAATTTGATAATTTAATCAAGTAAGTAAAAAAATATCACTGCAACATGTAATCAATATAAAAAATTCTTAGGGAGATATTTTCATTGTTTTTCATTGTTGTGTTTTTTTTTTTGTACTAAATCTTCACAACCTGGTTGCATTTTGTATCACATCTCTAATTGGACTAGTAGTGTGTCAGATCCTCAGTAGCCACATGTGGCCTGTACCTTCTTCACTGAACAGCACAGAGACAGATGGTTGTGGGGAGGCAGGCCAGGATCCCAGCACTTGAACCAGCCACTTTCTGGTGATTGGTGGCCTCTAAGCCATTTAATGTCATTACTTGACAGTGAAACATTTGCAGAGTCCTGGGCCTGAGTAGGGGGCGGGTCATGCTCCACCCCATAAAGCTCCCCTTTCACAGGCTGTGGGAGTGCACTGTGCCCTGGGCTTTGGCCGTACTGGCACCTTGCTTGCCTGTTACTTGGTGAAGGAGCAGGGCCTGGCTGCAGGAGATGCCATCACTGAAATCCGGCGACTTCGACCTGGCTCAATAGAGACCCATGAGCAGGAGAAAGCAGTCTTCCAGTTCTACCAGCGAACTAAATAAGGAGCCTCATCACTCTTCTGCCAGGCCTCTACTACCCTGACCAGATTATCAGATGGAGCCAGAGATATTGGAAGTAGACTAAAGCCCTCCAGCTCCCAACTGGCTCAAGAAACTGAAGTTGCTCTTCCCTGATGCCAGATTCTGATTGAAGGGATGACTAGAGCTGCATTGTTGTGAGTTCCTCTGCTGCTTCCTTGAATAAATAATTTATAAAAACATGAGGTGTCATGTTGCATGGCACTTCACAATTTATAAAAGACTCCCACACATCAACTTACCTGAGCTTCAAAGTAACCCTGTGGTATTAGAAAGTCACTTTGAATGAGGTGGCTAAAGCTCAGAGAGTTTCAAAGTTACATATCTAGAAAAATGGAATGATGGACTGGGATTACAATGCACATCTTCAACCTCTTAAAGATGCTGAAATTCTGTGTATCTGTTCTCTGACAATATTTGATGTGTCTTGTAGAGATCTGGTCAGTGAAAAGGACACAAATCTCTGGAAGCCCAGGATATCTGATGCTCATAGGCCACAAGGGTTCACGTGGACATAGCCCCTCTGTCTAAGCCAACATGTCCCACATGTGTCATTCTCTTAGGACAGAGAAGGCCTGGATGTTGTGCTCATCTTCCAAATGCTGCATGCCTCTCACCAGCCTCAAGGTGCTCAGCTCACCCATGACCTTCAGCCCATTATGTTGTCCGACAACCTCAGGCCAAGCGATACTGAAACTGAGCTAGTCTGGGCAGTTATGCAGAGAGGATGTTTCATGATTAAATGGGCCACAAATCATGGCCATGTTTCTCAGATGTTACCTTCACTTTCTCATTGGATCCCATTCTACCAAGACCACCACCACACTTTTAGCTTTGAGAGACAGGATAAATGAAATAGGCCAGCCAAACAGACTCTTTTTGCTATAACTTCAACCTGAATTCCTGTCCTCTCCTGTTGTGGTTGGCCACGCTAGATAAGATGGAAATTCATCATTAAATAGGTGCTGAATACCTGTGTTTACTAGGTTTTGTTACATGCAAAGGGTACCCAGAGATGAATGAGATGATTCACAGCCTCCTGGTTGAGGTGAGCACAGAGTCCAACCATATATAATGGGGACAATGACAAACATGCTTTCCAGATGCAATGGAGACATAGATGAAGGACACGGGTTCCCTCTCTAGTCATCATACTTGGTAGCCTAGATCAGAGCCAGTCCAAAGCCACCAGCTCTTCATACATCTCTCTCCCTTCCACTGCCACCCATGAAAATCAACCCCCATCCAAGCCTCTCTTACAGAAAAGGTATATCAGCCAGTCTTGCAAATCTAAGGAACAAGAGAAAGGCTGTAAGAAACACACGCACCTGTTTTCTCTGTCAAATCTGAGTAATCTCTTGGTCCCCACCCAGCCTTACCCAAGTGAGGATATCTCCTAAAGACAAGAACTCACAATTCCAGGCATTCAGGCTGCAGCAGAGTAGTGAGAAATAGCACATAGAGAGGATGCACTGAAACGAGCGTATGCCTCTCATCAAAATTTTCTCTGTCCTGCCCACTCTCACCCGCCCCTCCCATAATAACATGGTTCATCCTGTTTCTTAATGCAAATCAGAATATCTTCCAAAGGTAGGGGGTATGTGTGTATGTATGTGTGAAGGCAAGAAGAGTGTGAATGGCCCACTTACTGGATTCTTTCCCTCCATTTACCAGGATGTAGAGACTGGTGGGAGCCTTAAAGCTGCATGCCTGAGTTCATGTCTGCTGTTATCCTGACCTGCTGAGGTCCTACAATGGATGGATCCTCACACTTTGTGTCCTTTCTTCCTACCTCACTCCATCCTCCCCATGTCTTCTGCACTGCAAGCGAGGAATCTTCCCTTCCCTTCCTCCTGAAGCTCCTTCAAAGGAGAAAGAAAATTTTTCTAACCACAGTAAAGCCCTGTGTGCAGCCTCCATCCCTATAATTTAAGTAGGTCTCCTCAGCCTCAAGAGTCCCTCGGGGAAATAAACATATAATTATGTGCCTAAGGAAATTAGTTTTTAAATGAGTCGACTTAGAATGAAAAACTGTCATCTTTGCATCTACCTTGGGAGGTTAGTCTAAGGCTCCCTTTGGGATTATTTCCACCCTAAATTTTTGTGCCTTTTGCTCACTCCCCTCTTCTGTCTATGGCCACCAATGAGAGATTACAGACCAGGTATGACCCTTCCCCATTCTACCCAACACTGGGATGATAGGTGTGAGGAACAAGCTCCTGCATAGACAAAGAACCTTCACATTGCATCAGACCAGGACTTCTCAAGGTCAGCACTGCTAGCGTTTGAGGCTGGATATTTTGTTGCAGGAGCAGGGGAGAAGGGTGTGTACTATAGAGTGTACCAACATCCCTGACCTCTACCCACCAGATGCCAGTGCAATGCATTACCTCAAAAATGGCAATAAATATGTCTCCTTACATTGCTAAGTGTCCCCTGGGAGGACAAAATCAGCCCCATTACATTGGAGAACCACTACATCAGATCGACAAGCACCAAATGCAACCATAGGCTTTGTTTTCTATGGGAGCAGATGTGGGAACATACTTGTGAATTTCTCCTATGGATGTACACATCTCTATAGGGGGGAAAGGGCCAAATTAAACACCCTAAAAAACCCTTACTCTTTTGAGCAATATCTGGCACTCATCCCCAGTTTACCCCCTTTTCTCAGGCTGGCTTCCCAAGATGGTGATAGACACTACTAACTACGCTTAGGAGTGCTTTATCCTCAATAAGTTATTGGTGGGTATAACTGTAGTAACACTGACTCCTACCTTTGTGTTTTTAAAGTTTTATTCATCCTTACACTGTGGCATGTTACCCAAGTTCCTTACTGAAGGAAGGCTTGTCTATATGAATACATGTCTCCATATCATTTGGGTTATGCACCATCAACTCTGGGGTTCTTTTCCCAGAAAACTGTTCTGATGCAGAAGCCACTAGAGTCAGGACAGGAGGAGCACCTGCCATATTATTCCTTGAAACCATTCCTCACTGGCCTGACTTTCCCACCTGCACTTTACCTGTAGCTCTTTTTGCTCCGACTGGGGTTCTTCTGCTCTGGTTTCTAGGTCCCATGACCTCCCAGGCCATGTGTGCCAGCACACAGCTTCCTCCAGAAACAGACTTGCATCTGCACACTCACAGTGGCTGCCCATGTTTTGGATCTGTGCCTCAATATCACCCTCCAGCCATTTATGACATGTAGGGATGCCATCTCATAGGGTGGCTCATCATCCTGCCCTTACCTAAGGAGGTCTATCCCCTAGATCAGGTCTTCCCAGAGCAATGATGAGCATGTCACTTGGGGCAAGGACTTGATGCCAACCATAAACTATTTCCCAGAATGGACTGCACTCATTTGTCAAGCCCAAATTAAATATTCTGCAGTCTGTATCTTGTCACTCTTTGTAAAAAAAAAGAAACTAATGTAGTTTAACAAGATTGTTTTGTCACAAACCAGTATCAGTTACCACTAATGCCTTCCACACTTTGTCATGACTGCACTTTGCTTACTTATATATGATTATAATTGTCATATTTATGAAGCATCTATCACATAGCAGGTGTTTACATACATTGCATTATATCATTTTATCACAACCATTCTGAAAATCAGGTATTTTTTCCTTTTTTATAGATGAGGGGACTGAGATTTAGAGAGCTGACTAATTTGCTCAATGCTTCACACTTGTGTAAAGGAGCTGGCATCAAACCCAAGTGATAACTCCATACTCATGCTCCTTCAATCAATCATCTTGCCTACCAAGACCTTCCCTGGCTACAGTTACACAGGAAAGTGTGTCTTTATGATCAAAGCTTAGCTTCAAGAGTCATCTCATCAGCACAGCTTCCAAAGTCCTCTCTCTTCATCCTCTCAGGAGACCAGAGAACAACCTGCACCTGACTGAAGCCAGATACAGCCCAAGAATTTAGTCCAAAATAGTAAAGCTGATTCATCAGGCCACTTCTGTCATAGCCACTGTTATCTAACTCAGAGCATTTGGGTATCCTCACTTGTCATGATAGTCTTGAGGCATGTATGACTAGCATTGAACCCTCCAATTGTCTTTTTATACCTCATGATTTATTAAAAATCCTAATATTCTTCTGGTTTTATTTTTGTTATATGAGCCCTTAATGAATGCCAGGTACTATGCCAAGTACTTTATAAATATTATCTCTCTTAGTCTCTAAACAGACTCTATGAATAAGATCTTATTATAATGACCAGATGAGTGAATTGAGCCCCAGAGGGTTTAAGCAACACACACAGAGTCACATAGCTAGAACAGGATTCAGACGTGTTTATCTAACTATAAACTGCCTTCCCTCTTAGGAGCAGAGAGAAAAGACTTTGTTGTAATTGGAAAATATGTAATAGCATCTTGTGTTCCCCAGAAGTGTGGCACTGGACTCACAATCTGTCGGTGGAGGTCTATGATTGCATGGTTGCCCCAGGCTTTGGCGGGGATGCTCTAACTTGCTGTATTGGGCTGCAGCACAGTCATCAACCCTAAGAGTCTTCTGCCTCCAGCCTCTTGCACCATCAAAAAACAGTCCCTTGTGTGATTTTAAAATGAGTTACATAAGCACTTCTTCCATCACTTTAAAGTTTTTCTCTGGCTGTTATGGACTGAAGGCATGGTCTTGAGAAGGCAACATATTTACCCAAGCAAATAGAAATTTGAGAAACACTTTAGTGCATGCTCATATCTGAAATTAATGACTTAGTTTCAACCTTGATAACTCAGTCTTTTGTGCCAAAAAATCACTTCAACCATTCTCTCGCCCCGCCCTACTTGTTCTTTCATTTATTCTGTTACCATGGATATATACAATAATGAAACAAATTGGTGAGGCCACCTCTGAGTTTTCAATATGTGGGCTCCAGTATGGCAAACAGTTCTGGGATTATATGATAAACACAGCACTGTTTCTTTACCAACATATATTGAGTAGTGACTCTGCTCCAAAACCAAGATGGGCCATGGGAGAAGTGATTATTGTAAATATCATTCTAGGTAACACTGCTAATCTCTTTCTGTAGATTTCATATGACACTGGGCTTCCCCAACCCCACACTAGAGAATTCACTGATTTGCATGTTTTCTGTGGGTACCTGTTACAAGATCTAGTTGGGGATGGGTGTAGCCTAGAGCCATGGAATAAAATTAATAAAGTAACCACACTTGGATCAAGCCCACATAACTATGTAGAGCTATGCCATTCTTGACCATGACCTATAAAGGCCCTGAAGAATCCAATCCCTTCTTCCATCTTCTTCCTCACATTTTAATCTCCCTTCTCCCATAGCCCTTGTTCTCTCTGTTCCTTATGTCAGAGTCCCCAAGATCATCCTCAGGTTCAATGATATGCTGCTAGACAAACTCACAGAAAAACTGTTATAATCTCAATTATAGTTTATTTCAGTAAAAGGATACACAAATCAGCAAAAGAGAAAGGCATATAGGGCAGAGACAGTCCAGCAGGAACCAGGCATGGGCTTTCAGTTCTGTGCTCCCAGTGGAATTGTATGGACAGTGTCTCATTCTTTTAGCAGCAGTGTGTGACAATACCTAAGAAATATTGCCAGTGACTGAAGGGACTGGTCCTGAGTAGAGGGCTCCTGGGCTCCTGAAGACTCAGCTGGTCTCAGCCACTATCATTCTGCTACACTTAAAAAGAACAAGTCTTAGCATACATGTCACTTTGCTTTACATTTTCTGAGTTGATTTTTTTGTTTTAAACTTGAACCAAATTGTTTGTTTGTTTCCATTGAATCAGAAAAACAAAATAATTCCTAAATCTCTTTCTAGACAGAGTTTGTGGAAATTTGACCCCTATGAGTGTTAGAGGAAATTAGCAGTTATTTTAAAACATAGCACAGCACCCAGGAAATGACTTGTTTTTTTCCTTTGTTTCTTGCTTGTCCCTGTGCACCAGAGATAACGATTGCTAGAGATAGCATTTGTGTGCTAGAGATAACATCGTGTCTCTGTGTGCTACAGATAACATTTCGCTTCTTGCTTTCCCACCAGAAGTAATAGTCTAAGTGACAGACCACCCCTCACCCTATATAAGCAATTGCTCCCCACTGATCAGGGCCCAGAATTTGGAGACTGCCTCCTCTGAGTCTGCCCTCATAAATAAAGGAACCACTTCGCTTCCTCCAGTGTTTGGCCAGAGTTCTTCCCATAACATGAGGAAAATACCTGTTCCATTGAGTGATTTTCCTTCCCCAATATTGGTGTGTTACCCTCTGTGCTCTATGAATGACCATTTGTACAAGGGAAGTTTATGCTCACACCAAGGTCAGGGATAGGATTGTCTAGTGCCTGAATATTCTCCAGATGATAGTTTCCCAAAGGCAAACCACTACTTTGTTACAGGAACAAACCCTAGATTTGACTAGATAAAGTCCAAGAGCTTCACAGCTTGGAACCCAGGGTCTGGATGGAAGAGAGCAAAGGAAGAGAACTGGCTGACTAATGGACCATGAATGGAGAACCCAGGCATGACTAGGTCACATCTTATGGTCAGGACCCCAGAAAAAAAGCCTAAGATGCAGACCCTTTAACTAGATTTGTAGGAACACAGTTACCATAAGTGCATAAGTGCAGAGTTGCTATTTTCTCCCAGGTGTGGACAGAGAAAGGGGAAAAAAATGAAAATACCAAAGTACTTCTTTGTAGTGGTACATAACCTCACCTAACCGTTCAGAGCCCTATAAAGCAAATATTTTTATTCCTTTTTAAGCCTCAATGAGGACAATGAGGACATTGAGGTTTAAAAAGGTTAAGAAACTTGTCTAGAATTACCCTACTAACAAGAGAAAACCAGAGATGCAAACACAAGCCCATTCAATGTCAAACCCTATGCTTTCTACTTCACTACCTCTAGTCTGGATGTAGCTGGATTCTAATTAGGTAAAACTAGAAAATAAATTCATTTAAAATGCCTGGCAGGGCATGATCACACAATAAATGGTGCCTCTTACAATTACTGGCTATCAGGGATTCAAGAGGCCAGGGGCCCTGACACTGAACATGCTGGCACATGGCTATACACTAAAAATGCATCCTTAATTTTTTTTCTGAGTGATGCATTAGGTTAATTCAATCCCAGTACTGGAACCCACTGCCCACATATGCACACACAGCGCTTCCATATAACCACCGGCCCTCCAGCAACATGGCAGCCACAGCTTAGTACAACAGCCTATTTCACTGTGGTAGAGCTCAATGTGAGATAGTTCTTTATGTTGAGCTGAAACTTGCCTTCCTTCTTTTTCTAATTTCCATGAATTGGTCCCACTTCTGCACTATCAAGTAACTCAGAATAAGCCACTCCTTTCCTTTAAGCTTAGCCTATCAGGTATTTGAAAACTACTATGTGTCCCTACTCAATCTTATCTTTCTCAGATAAATACCTATAAATTCTATAATAAGAAATTGTTTCTAGACCCTGTTCATTCCTGGTCTGCTTGATCTTGATGCACTTTGTCAGTGGGCCAGGAGCTGAAACTTTTTCTGCATGCGAGACTGCAGCCTCCATTGTCTGAGACTCTTGTATAATTTAGTTTAACAATAGCTCTTGGCTACCTCCTCTCACTGTCATCTCATCTTCAGCCTATAGATAGCTGCAACCCCCAGGTTTTCTTTATTGGTACTGCTGTGAGCAGCTATCGCCTACCCTGTATACTCAGTTGGCTGCAGTCTTGATCATAGACAGTGTTTCTGCAATCACAGCTCCAAGGTCTTGCAGTGCCCTGGCCAGCAAGTCACCAGGATCTGGGGACACAAGCTCATTTGAAGTGTCTCTGTGCATTCTGGATGCCTCCTCTCTTCTTATAGGCTTCAGTACCCTCAACACTGTTTTTTGACCTCTTTGTAGCTGCAAGATTTTTTCCAGTGGAAAGGGGAAAGGAAAGAAGGCATTACTATACTATTATAAGGAAAGGTCTTAGTCATTTTGAGGACAAGCAAAATTATTTCTCCTTTCAGGAAGTGTAGTAAATAATTCCAGGCAATGGGTTGATATACAACACAACTACACTGTAAGGAAAAAAGTGACTACTATTGTTTCCATTGCACGATCAGAATCAGGAACTAGAAGCTCTTGGAATTCAAACAATTTGTCCAAGGTCACTTAGAAAGAGATGGAATCATGAGTGCAGTCCAGGTCATCTGATTCTAAGTCTTGCATGCTCTCCACTCTGCCAAACTCGTAGAAAAAGATGTGTTTAGATGGGAGCTACAGGGAGGTGGAGGAGTGGAAGAATGGTAAGAAAAAGATTCATAATTCTGCACACACTGAGGACCTGTGGCTCAGATAACTCTGAACTGAGTAGACTATAAAGCTGAAAAGCCTTTTTCTTTGTCCTCCACAGTGTGAACAACAAAGGTGACAGCATGTGAATAAACATGCCAAACCTCTACTCTGAGAGTATGTTCACCCACCACTACTATGGCCATTCTTGCATTCCATGGTGTTCATCAGAGTACCTAGGACATGTCAACAATGAAGGACTCAAGTATATGCATAAGGATTGGCTGGACTGGCTGAACTCAACCCTATGCCATTGTTTCACTTTTTGCCCCATATTCCAGAATACTCTT